GACAAATTAACCAGAAATTGCATTTTGCCATAAAGAACTGGAGAAGCAAGGACTAAATTTCCGAAACGGCTGTGAAGAAAAAAGGAATAAACCAAGGCGAAGTAAAAATGAATTTAAAAAAATAATTTGGCCAGTCAAATTCGTAAATAATTGTAAATAGGCAGGGAAAAGTGAAGAAATATTATCAGCCTAGGTCGGACGATTAGACATTATCCAAGTAGGCTGTTACATAGGACAAAATAGTTGTGGTTGGGATTTAGGGTAAGGTGGATTGTGTTACTCTCAAGTAGTTATGAATACAATAAAAGAAAAGCTAATGATCAGTGAAATATAGATGGAAATCAACCTAGGCATGCAATCTGGGACTACTATTTATGCTAGGACTGCGTGTCTGTAACATAGAAGGCTGAGGAATATACCTAAAGGAATTATAGGTAGATTTCTGGTTGCTAAGATTTCGGATCGCTGAAGGCAGACTGGGCGCTTTTGAGTAGCGATATATGTGAACTGGATGGTTTCCAAGGTGAAAGAAATGTAATGCTAGGAGCGAAAATTTTGTTAAAGTTGTAATTTATTTCCTTTGTTGGCCTTATTTGGAGTGAAGCAATGAGATTCAGTCTTATCGTAAATTTGAAAAAAAGTCGAAAGACAAGTGACTGAAACTGAAAACTCCTAGTGGAGTGGTTCAATGAAAACTGCATTAAGTATGAGAAGGGATGCAGTGTAGAAGCAGACGATATAAGCGTGGCTTTAGTCTTCTGAAAGAATAAAACAGATTGCTGGATTGTGAGCAACGCAGGATCATTTATTGGGCTAGGGAATGAATATAAGGTAAGTGCCTGATGAGTGTACGAAGATGTGATCCCAGATTTGTCTTGTTGGTAAAAGCATACTTAGACCTACAGGAGTACATTTTGCGTTTGCATATACACGTGTTTGTATGTGTTTGCTAATTTTTGCAGGAAATCAGTTAATGGATGCTATGTTATAGGTTATGTATATTGAAATTTCAAGAATATATTCGCCATTTCTAATAGTAAATATATACATGTGTGTATATTACGTTTTTTGCTTCTCTACGTTGTGCTTGGACAAATGTCTTACTCTTCCCTGGTCCTTTCCAGCTACAAGCCAACTCAACATGATTAACTATGCACAGCCCTAGCGAGCCTGCTTTGACGGTCTAGTTCCCGGCGGCAGTGGCCGCCTCTTCACTTCGCGTTGCCGCTTCCTCGGTAATATTCATCTCGTTAAGACGCTCGCGTACATCAAAGTCGGGGCTGTTTAACACATCATGCATGTTGATTATGGGCATTTCAGCTAGCATCACGTTGGTAATAAGCCAGGGTCGCCATTCGGGTTCGTGGCGCGCTTTCCATTCGGGGTATTTGAGAGCAGCATTGTGTAGACGTTGCATAATCTTGGGCGCCACCATCGTAGCCGCTTTGTTGATAGCCCAGGCGGGGATTTGACCTGGTGGGATCAGAACACATCATGATTGATCATGTGGCAAAGAGTTATATATAAAAGATGACGATAGGAGGGGCAAGAATGCGGAGATGAAACATCTATTTATCCTTTAATGAAACTGTAAAAACAGTATAAAATGCAGTTAGGAGCTACACACTCGGTATATACGACAAGTTTTTCAGCTTAATATAAAAACAATTTTTCATTATAAGTGAACAAGGAGCTTAGGACGTCTTATACACAAGGAAGGTAATGAAGGACCAGGTATTGCCCTATTTCTTGCAAAAATAGTCCACTGGCTTTGCGGGGAGATGCATATTTTGATTTTCCAACAGTCTTGATTCGATTAGATGCTTATCATTAAAGTTCTTAGTTAGCCCATTATTCCCCATTTTGTTTTAGATTTAGGCATAATTCGCCAGTTTGAGTAGGGAGCCCTTTCTTACTGATTTCCAAATAACTGTAGCTGCAGTTAAGCAGCAATTGGTGAAGGATAAGGGTTTAGGTGAAGACAGGTTCTTTATAGATGTAGGACTACCATTACAGATGTGTAGAGATTATGGTACGTAATCTTGACCCTCCAAACCACTTGGCTCGTAACACGATCCCTTCTAGACCAATTTTGAGAAAATTTGCCTATGTGGATTTGAGGTGCACTTTTTCATATTTCCACCGAGTGGCTGTGTACCAGAGTTATTTTCGACGATCTATTTTAGGAATTTGAGCTCATTATAGCAAACTTACGGATAGAATTAATTAATTCTGCCTAGCCCCACTTTGCGTCTTGTACCGTCTAGACATAAATGACTTTCTAAAAATGCTGAATTTGGGCGAGTCATCTTACTGATTGATGTCCACAACGTCCTGATACGCCGCCTGATCATCCTTTTCTCATGCGCACATGAAAACGGGGGTATACATGTTCAGTGTCTTAGATCGTCAGTTATGCTGCCACTTCTGCAGAGGATAAAATGTATCGCCAAGGCATCTTCGCTATAGAT